AAAATATATATATAAAGTTATAATATACTATTATATATAAATATATATAGATTTATAAAGTTTTCTTTTATTTATAATTATTATTTATATTATATTTTTAAGTAGAGTATCTTTATATATTTAATCTTTTTTAATAAAATTACTATATATAACTTAAGGAATAGAAAGATATAAATAAATAACTATTATATAACTATAGAATTGATTTTATCTTATTTAAACTTTTTATAACTTTAGAAAACCATCCTAAACCATTCTAAACCAAATAATATTATTTGTGACTTAGTCAGCAACTTCAGTTACCAAACCCCCAGCCTACTATGTAATTATTCGAAATATCAGTAATTATCAGATCATGTACAGAAAGATCGACACGTAACATATTCAACTGCTGCGCCGCGGATTTTCAATCAAATTTCCGCCTTCCTCATCCAACGCGTCAAAATTTTGGCACCTCGATTTAATAGGCCTTTTTCTAAAGAATTGTGAATTCCGATACCTATTTCAGTCCATTAGGAAGATTAAATTAAATTAATACTCCTAGCTGCGAAAGACTTTATGATCCCTGAAAGTACCCTACGCGATCGGCTTGATGGGATAAAATCACGATCAGCGACGCGCGTTAATAGTTATAAACTATAAGCTTTTAAAGAAGAAACTCTTCTAAGCGGATTACTAGAGACAAATAAATAATTAAATATATATTTCTAATTTACTCTAAATATCCATGTAGAATAGGGAGGACAACAAGCTGTGAATTACCTCTGGTATTTACGCTGACAACGGGTTAGAGCCGTAACAGTATTGGTCGTAAAGGCTTCGGCCCTTAACAGGAGCCATTGCTGGACTGCTTCCGTCAAAGCTGAGAGGCATCCAGGCTCTCTGTCTGGGCAAAGTAGTGTTCAGGACGCAGCTGGCCCTTGTGGTTGAAGGAATCATCATCAGGATCATCCTCATCATCCAAATATCCACTGCAGAGTTCAGGTCACCATTAGTGTTAGCTGCGATTCCCTGGACCGCGGGTAGTAGGGGGATAGCGTGCTACAGCGCCGCAGATAGCAGGAGCAAGGGACTAGGCTTCCATTGGATTATATACTACCATATACAGAGGTTGATCACTGGTTCCTAAAGCTATTGGGGGCGCGGTGAGGATTTTACCGCAAGCTGGTAGCACGTGAGGTCACGTGCTGATATATCAACTGCAGGAGTTGTTAAGGTGCGTCAAACAATATGCTACGGAACTTGCAAGCTCACCCTATAAATCAGAACCTGACGGGCTCTAGGAAGAGCCGCGCTAACGTGAGCACGGGAGCTGATGAATTACTATGTATCAATCACGTGACATCGTATCCGGTTTGGTATATGGTTGGTGTATGGAATATGGTAGATGACCAGGGGATATACAAGAACGCCCATTCTCATGTACTTAGTTTAGCTCTTCATGGTCAATCGCAATCGTTACTATAGAGTTACCTTTAGTACCAATAGACCATCATCAACTCGTTCGCACTCTTCCGACTATCGAGTATACGTACCCGATAGGCCTAGCCCTTTGGACTTGAGCTATTCACGGATTACTATCGCATCATTGTTTGGACCTCTAGCCCCCCCCCTCCTCAACCCTCAGGGCACTTTGCTGTCGAGCCTCAGTGGATTCTGGCACTTAAATTTGAACCTCGCTACGCAAGACAGTTAACTGGTCAGCAGGGCTCTCGGACGAAGCGGCGTGACACCCCTGCGCGCTGCAGCGGCTGTGGAATAATCAGACATACTATAAGGAGTTGCCCTGGTAAATAGCTATTTTCTCATAGAGTTGGTGGTCGAAAGGCTTAGGGGAAAAAGGAAATTTGATTTAAAAACTCCGCGGCTCGGTAGTTGAATACGCTAAACTATGCCTAGACCAATAGAGTAATATTTCGTCTATAATACAAAATACATCTTAATACTACTGATCGTATGTGACTTAATGAGATATAATTACAAATTCCCCCTTGTTATCAATCGATGTGAACCCGAGGCAGATGCGTGGACGGTTCTGATGGTAGATGCTTGGTCGTACAATACTTAAACTCACGAATCAAACCGCAAGATACCGAGGGAAATTAGCGGTAAGTAGGTCTTACTGCAAAGCAATGCATTGCATGATTATGCTGAATTCATGGTGAATGCCCCTAATTGGTGAACGTTTACGGATAATGGATGATTGACATTCCGCGTATCCCTTGCCTGGTAAACCCCAAATCGCGTCCACGCTCAGCTCCTAGTAAGCCCTCTCTATACAGGAATTGTAGGTTAGAGCTATCTTAGCCAGATCTGAGACACAGATTATCACGTAGATCGATCAATGATCCCGACCTCCTCGCACTCTGCTCTCCCCTTCCTGTCTTCTTGAGATAGACAACAGGTATGAAAAGGATATATTCCACAAAATAGTCCTAACCATAAGGCCAAAATTTAGGTTTATCCAGATTCCTTTATCCCTGAAAGTTGTGTGTCAATGCCGAGTATAACGCGGCACGGGCGTGTAGATCTCACATTCCCAACCTAGCAAAGTATTCAGACACAAGCAAACCTGGAATATCCCTAATAGCCATATTCAATAAAACCTTCGAATTCCTATCGCCGCTCTTGCAACCTGCGCCGCCAAATTCTACAATCCTACGCCTCTGAGCGCCACCAAGCTTCGCCAACAGCAGCATCCACGATCCATCCAACGCTCCCCTCCACTCTACAACAGTCACAACAAAAGCAAAAAAGAAAAAGAAAGAAAAAAGAATAGAGAAGAGAGAAGAGAGAATAGAGAAAAAGAGACAATGCGCCTCACCCCCCATCTTCTCCTCTTCGCCCTCCCCACAGTGGCAATAGCCCTCCCAACATGGGGCCGCTTCCTGAATAACACCGGCAGCACTACAACCGTCAACAAGAACATCACGAACACAATCAACAATATCACGAACACAATCAACAACATCACGAACACAATCAACAACAACACCACCAACATAGTCAACAACAACATCACCAACACAGATAACAGTAAAAGCACGCACATCGGTGAAGCAGATAACATCCACAAAAGCATCGAAGGCGACAATAACATCGACTCATCGAGTACAGAAACAAGTATAAGCACAAGTATCACCCACGACGACCATTCCGTGTCGAACGATTACGCGCCGACGAATTCGAGTGATTCGCGCGATTTGTCGGTCAAGGAGAGCAATAATAAAGATAATAGTAAGAGGCCGATGCTTATCGGGAGTTTGTTGGACGGCGCGAATGTTACGGTGGAGCCTTTGACGGGGGATTCACCGTTGGTTGCGGGGCCATTGCTTTCGTTACCTTCTTTGCCTTCTTTACCTTCTTTGATGGCTTGATTTTGGGGACGGAGGGTTTTGGGATAGGGGGTTTATGTGGGGAGTTTTGGGAGTGGACTGGGTATGTATTGTTTATATCCCGGGTTCTAACTTCTGGGGTTGGGGGCGATTGTTTTCCTGGGTGTGAAATTTATATCAGAAGGTTATGTTATATGATATTGTGAAGGCCGGGGGTGTTGTTGGTCTATGGATGGCTATCAGGTGCGCGTATAGTTCCTTGCGTGCATGCGCAGTACACCCAATTGTAATAGAGAACCATGTATTCCGTACTCATGTGAGTAAATGCAAGGAGGAAGACGTTGTCCAACTAGCGATAAATTAACATAGCCTTTAGTGCTGCATCAAGAGCAAAGGAAGGGAAAATACAAAGTTCTTGGATTATCGTAGGATTTTGTAATGCGCCGTGATGGAGGCAAAGCATTTCGGGGAGAAAATTGGAAGATTGCATTGCAACTATGCTGAATTATGAACCTGTTCTTTCGGAAATTTTGGAAGATTATTAACTATTTGGATTTATATACGAATTTTTACCCTGGTGTTAGGATGGGAATAGCCTAATAGATAGATATATTAGAATTATAAGGGATACTATAGCTAGTATGTTTGTTGACATATGTACCGGATGTTCTGGACAGCTTGAAGACTTTCTTTTTCCGTTTAATGCTCACCCCTCGCCCCTTTTTACTCCCTGAATAGATCTGAGCACACCCTGGGCGCCCTGAGTTAATCACTGAGCAGAGAGTGAGCAGTGGGGTGAGTAGTCCGAGTACACTAACCTCAATAAAACGCACCATGCTAGAGTTGCACTAAGATCCATTTCCCCGTAGTGCTTTTGACCGTCATCAGCTTTTTGCCCACTCAACAAAAAGATGGGATCATCAATAAACGGGGAATAGTGATCCTCATTCCTTCTGCTCCACCCGTAAGGAAATTTAGGCGGGATACATCTTTCTTTCCTTTCCCTTTTTTTAACAAGCAAGCCTTTCAAAAATACTACTGCCATATAATTAAGGTGCCATATAATTAAGGATCACTAAGGCTTGCTGTATATAATAGCAACAGTCAACCATCCTCTGTTGACAATGTATTATAAATCAACCCTGTCCCTTGGCTGTCGGCCAGGAATGGCACTATTTCTTTATCATTGGCCTTGTTGTACCCAAATTTTTATATACTATATTAAGCCCGTGAGCAATCATTGACTTCTCTATTCAGGTTATCTTAATATCTGATATAACGGTCTATCAGTGTCTAGATCTTACAATGACGTTATTACCCGTTTTGCTTCAGTACCCATGTCTTGTAGCTGGGAGGCCATCTTCGAGGCAGCAGCTCTACAAGGTTGTTATGCATAAGGGGTTCTATAGAAAATCCTACCTTTTTATGGCTGCTCTTTGAGTATCAGATATAGTGGTACTATATGCAGCTCTTCAAGCAAATCTTCAGCTTTATTGTATCGCAGTTTCCATTTCCTTTATCTCCTTCGAGATATAGACTGAACGATGCAGAATTTCAAGCCTTGGGCTCGTGAAGAGGGTCAAATACCCAATACCGGGGCCTGACTCCATATTACTGTATCGGATGATTCAGGAATTGACACATACTATGCGAGAGACTGCCACACTGGTCCGCTAGGGTCATGGCTTATAGCGACACCGCGCGACTCACAAGGATACCGTGCTCAGTCCTCAAATACTTGTGGTCATCTTTGACCATTCATTTTTTGCGTCACTGACTCTGCCGCTCGTATCGGCATCAATAAGTGCACTATACAAGGGCCTTTAATAATAGTATTACACCATCTTCATCTGTTTCTCAAATCTTTACGGCTGATATCCAAAGTATGACGGAAATTACGCCATGCTTATCTACCTCTATACCCCTCCCTAAACCTAAACTTATATTGGTCTAATACCGTAAACCGGCTATTCAATATTACTGGAGAAATTAATGATGGCCTTTGAGACTTGCTGGAATCGGACTCCCTTTACGTGTGCTATAATCTAAACAGTTATTGAGCAGTTTAATTCTTAAATACAAATCTAATCTAATATTAGTAATAATCCTGTAAGCAAAATGGCTTGAAAAAAATGTAGTTAATTTATGAAATTGTCATGTATTAATTACACATTAACCTACGGTTATTGCCCTAACCGATTTGACCTAACCTACCCTAGCCAACTGTCATAGGTCGGATAGCAATTCGGCCTGAGGACTACATAGTATACCTTGTCCCGGGTACAGGTACTTCCTGTCTCTGTTGCATATGTACATCGGTCACCGAAGACGTAGGTCAGGCCATACAATGGTCAGGATCTGAACGGTGATTCCAGCCCCTTTAGGCGTAGAGCCTTCAGCTAGCTATAAGTTTGTGACTCGATTAGCAATATGAGTGAGGTCAAGAATCAGTCACCTGTCTCAACAGTATTTACTGTTCGCTTTGGCATTTCTCCCCTTATTGCCCACGTACCCTCACCTAGTTGGCAGTTCTTCTAACCTGCCTAGTAGATATCTCTGACACAAACGGTTAATCGCGGTTAAGAGATTTTATACCTTAACCTAACCTAGGTCAGTTAGGTTACGCCACTCTAGTGCTGACACTGTAGGTATTGCGGCATAAAATTGATCAAACTGAGCTGTGTGCTTAGCTACGTGGATAGATAGTCGCCGATTACGGCATTACTGTGCATACTGCTCTTTCTTTTCTTGTGATGAGGCATATTTACATAGTCGGCCTCCCTTTTTAGGAGGCTTAGAGGATGGTGACATCATTCAAATCTAAAGTTATCTATCAGTTATAATCAGAGTAGGCAGAGAGTGAGAATAAAGGGAAAGTGGGCATGGGTCTTGAGCGCAGCGGTCATCTTGTTGAAACGGTCATCGGCAGGCTCCCTGCCGTCGGCCTTGAGCTTGACAATAGCCTTTGTGCCAATATCCTGTGCCTCGCTCATGACATTTTCAAAATCGTTCTTCTGATCCCAACCCTTGGAGCCAGAGTTGTCAAACTCAGTGCTGAAGACGTTGAGGTCCGCACGCTCGCCGGTGTGCACCCATCCGATCTTGTGAAAGTCAGGCACTAAGCATTTATTAAGTAATGGTCCAAGATACGAAATACTCACTGAGCAAGCCCTTGAGTACTCTGACTAAAGCGGTGATATCCAAAACAGGAAAGATACGATATCCTAAAAAATTCAGGTACGTATAGGTACATATATATTATCCAAAAGTCGCCTGTACCCAGTGAACGCCCCCTATATTCGTCAGCTAGGCCAAGCTACGTACCCCCTTATATTATTGCATTTATTGAACATAATCATATGACTACCATGTTAAGTGTTCTTAATATATTTCAAATTGTCTTCTAGCTACAGAAGATTATCAAACTCAAGCTGGTCCTGAACCTTTTCGAGGTTTAAGGTTCAATAGTACTATCATAAAGCAGGCATATAGCGAAGTGCTGTCCCTCACGACGAAATCATCTGCTCAACAACAGTCTCGGTATACGCCCAAAGCATAGATGAATAATCCGAGCAAAATGCCAACCCGGTGTAAAATGTGTTCTTAGAACCTTGCAATGCATACAATTTCTTGTAGAATCCGTCCCGAATGTCAGCATTGGATACTGAGAGTGTTGTTGGCGTGTGATCACCAAACGCAACAATTTCCGGATCACCCCCAGGGTACGTTCCCGCGGTACCCATCCGACGAATATCAGAAATTATCAATTTCTTGGCCTGTTCCTGGGTAAATGTCCTATTTGCAACGACCTTGCTGGCCAGATACCCATCCGCACCCAGGTACTGCAATGACCACTGGAATGGGGGAAGAGGTAGGTTGCCCGGAGTATTATCGGGGTCAGTATTCATGACTGTCACAGCATTTGGAACACCTGTGGACTTGAGAACAGCAACATAGTAGTTGACCCAGTCCCACTTTTTGAAGAGGGTGGCTTCGTTTGTGGAAAGATCAAATCCTTTTAGTGACTCCATGATAGGGACAAATGTAATGAGCAGGTTTTTGGCCTTGATCAGCTTCCGGGCGCCGTTGGCACTTTGGACGACAACTTTGACACCGGACTCAGATCGTTCGGTTTCGGTAACAGTCGACTGATAAATAATATCCGAACTGAGGATCTTTGAGGCCTTGCTGTATAGCTCAAACATGCCATTTTTCGGGGTAATGTATCCGCCGCCAAGAAGCGTATCGATGTGGGTGATGCCAAAGAGCTGGATCACTTGGAGCAATGGAGCCCCGAGGAGATCTCCAACGCCATGAGCGAAACCGTTGGTCAGTTGCAAAGCACCTTGGATTCCATGTTTATCAACGAATTCGCCAAACGGGCGCAGAAGCTCCTCGGGGACGGGGTCAGGCAGCATATATAATCCATCCTTTAGATAGCTGTATTTTTCGATGGCTGCGCGGTAAATTGCTGTGGCTGCAACGGCTGACAGAACATCGGAGGGGGGAGGTACTTTCTTGCCGGTTTTGAAGTCAATGTAATCGGTGACCGGGGTGGCTGGGATAAGCGGTTTGTGGTCTACTACTCCGAGGCGCTTGAAGTAGTTTCGACTGAGCTCATCATTGAAGACGCCCTCTACACCATAGTCGACAAATTGGTTGTTATCGACGTAGAGGGTTTCGGTGTGGCCACCTAGGATACCATTCCTCTCAACAACCACTGCACTCTTCGATTTGTCCTTCAGGCTGATTGCCGCATATGTACCAGTTGAGCCACCGCCGAGGATACAGACATCACGGGTGATGATATTGTCGGCTGCAAATTCCTGTTCGTTTATTGCTACCACGGGCGACATGATTACCGCAGAGAGCATTATCCCGACAAAGCAGTGGGCGATTGTGGATATGAAGCCCATCTCGGAGAATTTCGAGGTGGAACAGATTGGGAAATAAAAATCCTTGTACGTTTATTGAGATAAGCAAGCTCTTAATGTAAGTCTTCCTTTACTCTTTAAATCGAAAATAGAGAATCTCATTATGGTTAAGTTGAACCTACCCTGACGATCATCAGGGTAAAGATATTTGTGAATTGAGGCTGGGCCCAATGAACCAGTCACTCTTCAGCTCAAACAGATCATTTCTCGATTTTTCCCAGACACTTGGCTGCCCCTGAACGCTAGTAAGTCTTAGTGACTGGATAATCAGTGCATTACCAAGTCTGGTCCAAATCGATATCCTATGACAACCCCGGGAAAACTTGAATTAATACAGATATGTAAGTTCTGTGATTCAACGGTCTTCACTACGGACCTACAGGCTCGCTTTCCGGATTGTCCGTTACCCCGAGCAATTCTCGATCTCGGTTCTGGACAACAGATGCGAACTGGGCCAGTTTAAAATAACGGGAGGCTACTAGGCAGTCAATTATTCTCTCATCCTCTTTTTATCTTTCCTTCACCGTTTGTTGATTCCACCGTTTCCACTGTTCCCACCTTTTATTCCTCACTCCAAGATCCCCGGATTGAATTTAAAACATCCACATGATTGCCTTTGGCTTCAAGCTTATCGAAGAAAGATAGTCATTGTGTTGGTACCTAGCGGGAGGACTGCACTACCTCGTCAATGACACTGGCACAAAAACCTGTGTGGGTAATATGTAGCTTGGGGCGCAAGTTAAGATGAGGGCTTAAGCTTAGGTAGAGTAGCGAGACCCATGGAAACATCACCAATTGGCATCCCATAAACGGCGAAGGGTCCCATTTAGAAATTAGCTGACGCAAAGTGAAGGAATAGTTGGATTTTGACAAAGGTTTGGGCCTATTAGGGATCAATTTACGCCAAACAGAACTAAGACAAGTGTAATTATGACTGACTTAGAAAAGCTTCCCTTAATACCCAAAAAGCCGGCATCGGGAAAATAATATATACAAAAACAAACCAAATACGCATAATAGTTACACAAAAACTAAAAATTCATCCTTCCGAAAACATGAAAATACTACGCTCACTCATATCACTCATCAAACTCTCTCCCGGTCCAGCTCAACAAGGTTGACGGCACTAGTGGATGCTCTTTCTTGGGCCCTCCTAGTATACTCCACTGAGTAAGACATTGTTTGAGAGATCTTACCATGCGTACCAGGAGCACTCGGCCGTGTGGCCCTGCGCGCATCCGATTCCCCAGCAGAACCAACCATGAGTCCGGGAAAAAATCGGACCAGCATGGCCCTTGCCGCGGGTAAGCATGCACATACCACGGCGATCTGGCACTCTATCACTGACCAGACATTGATTGGTTGTAATTCGACTAGGCACGGAGTCAATCATCTTGTTAATCAAAGGCAGATGGGCCCCCCGATGCTACATATACATACCGGTAGGGTTTTTATTCCAGCGATTGAAGTAGAATACGACAACCCGGAGTATAGCAACAATGGTAAGGCTGTTGATGTAAGGATCAGCAGCAGCAAAACGCAAGAAAGCGCAACGATGGCTTATACTTACACCAAGCCCATGGCAAACATAACACCAACACCCAGTTTTCGGCGCGCGTTCAAGTTCAGCTTAATAACCTCATACACTGGCATTACCACCATAACAGTATCTACTGCAATGTTGACGAAGCTGTTTGCAAAGGTTGCAGCGATAAAGTCAATGCATTTTCCGTCTTCTTCTTTCGCCCATCCTGTCCATGCCAGATGGACTGGTGTGCATCGAAAAGCGTCAACTAGTACCCAAGTTATGGCTATCGCGGAATTCAGGGATATGATTGTATAAGCAGTATAACGAAATGCGGCTGACTGAAAGATCCTTAAGAGAAACAAACACACAGAGATTTTGGCGAGGGATATCTGGAGTTTGTATGCCAAGACGTAGATATAAAAGGTCTAGATAATCAAGTTAATGTTTTCCCCAACAAAAAATAGCCTAAACAAACCTTGAGTATCTCAGTTATCTCAGCAAAAGGGGTTATATTCCAAATGTCTTTCCCAAAGCCGTGATGGATCACTAGAAGTAAGTTAGAATGTTGCTACCGTATATATACATGAACGGTCTTGCTAACTAGCGGCATTAAGTGAGAATATGATCACTGCCAATACCTTCAAAATATAGATTAGTATGCCAATCAGGACGTAAGAAACAATCGTCTCACATATGCTACAATAATGGTGTAATCATCCCACCACCAGCGACCACCGATATGCATGCATTTAGAAACTACCCTTGTAGTGAAGAAAATCGTAGCGAGGAAAAGGGGAACGATCAGGGCAGGATCTGCGGCAGGTCGCCCCTGATGGGTGGGGAGACCGCATTGATAAGATTGCATTCGTTTGGCGACTGTATATACTGCTCAGCTTGAGGGAAGAAAAGACGGTTCACATGGAGACTCACTGAATGAATTCTTGACTGTACAATTGGCAAGAACACACTCTTCCCAAGCGGATTGGTAGACGTTGTCAGCACATATACATGTAATATCACTTCTGGAACACGCCATGGTATTGTTGAGCACATCTTGCTGACAGCTGACCTGCTATATCGTTAGGGACTGTGTATAGTTTGAAGATACCAAAGCGCACCGCGCATTCGGGAAGGGTCTCAGTTGGTGTCTCATCTGCTACAATTCGGCTAGCTACAACAAAAAGGATCAGTATTGATCTCCGAGGCAAGAACATTATTGTGATCTGTAACTGAGGCAATCAAGGCAAGGCAAATAAAGGCTGTACTTTATTATCAGTGCAGGGAAAAGAATGAGTTAAAATGCAACTCAGAGCAAGGCCCAGGGGCTAACAAAAGCCATTGTAGAGTAATTCATAGAATAATTCACACAGTCCCGAGTCCTACGCCCCACTGAACACATAGGGAAAACACAAGGGCCCATTTCAAAGTTTTGATAGCTTGTGTATACCAAGACTAGTAAGCCCTAAACAGAGATCAGTACACTGACCCGCCAGGTCCGTGGAGAACGCAAAAATTTAACTCTAGTTCGCAATCAAACTGATCGGTCATAGAAGGCAGTTACGTCACTTAACTCACTTCCTGAGCCTGAGTGATTTGAACCTACAATGTCTATTTCCACAGTTTCAAGTAACTTTCCAAGCAACACATTGGTCCGAAACATTACCGCTACATTGTGCAATTCAACTGCGCACTTCTAAATCCTCGTGAATTCGAAGACCAACAGCGATCTACAGGCCTTCTGGAAAGGTGGACAAAGACTAATTAAGCACTGACCGCTCGCCCCTGGACTTGTAGCTAGTTAGACTCAGTCAAAAACGTTGGTGTGAGCTTAGTGGCGCGCCATACCACATGGCTATATGGACAATTAATCCATTAGCCTAAATGAACCCAAACTTTGACCTACTTCCGTAAAGTAACAATACAATATGCCGATCACCCCTCGGGGCGGCCGTTATGCGCCACCCATTGCTCTATCTCCGATAGTTTACACGGAAAGCCACGCCACGTACTGCACATGCCAGCTCCGCTCTAACAATGCGGTAGGTGTTTCTACTTCCAATCCAACTCAAGGCTCAAAGTTAACAATTTGATAGACATGACACTAAAACAACTATGGGTGAACTATTGGATTTTAAGCTTTTCCAACCTGAACTGTTGGCAAGCCTTCAATGTCGGGATCATTGTTCCTCATCTCCACGGGTTTCCCCTACTGGTCGTCCTAGTCAGAAAAATTACGATCTACTGCTTTAGCCTATATCATTGGTCAATCAGCTTAGATTCACACATGTTCGTGGAGCTAGACAATGCATTACGAGGCATGAACTGCAGCACGATGAGCGATTTAATGAACGTGGCTGATCATTAGAGATCGGCGCCTTGGCACCACTATTCGTATTTTTCGACGGCTAACACTAGCTTATTCGGTCCAAGTCTGTTCGAGCAACTGCCGAAATCAAGGTTCCTCCGTCAGTCCTTCGCACGCAGTATATATCTGGTCAGGGCCAGTGTCATGCATGGGGGTGATCGAGGTATATCATATCAAAGACTGACATCCGATCCTCGACTCTGGCGGCCTACAAAGGCTATTCTGTCATTGAGAACTCTACGAGAGGAATGTTTTTGGCAAGGCAGTTCTAAGCCTTGGAGCTTATTAGTGCCTACTAGCAACAACAGAAAACCTCTTTGCTATATTAACGCAAGTAAACTCGGAAATGTAAACTCAGTAGATCTAATTGATCTCATTTGATGCCTTAGCGGGATATGTAGCTGCAACACTACCAAATCGATCTATGAAGCCCTAACTTTAAAAGGTAGAATCAGAATCAGGGTCACAATTCCTCTCTGGCAACCTTTCTGAGGTTGTCCGAACCAATGAGCTGATGAACCTAAGAACTAAAGGATTACTTAGCTTGGCAGGCTATTTATTCCACTAAGCTCGTGTTCAACCCTACGACCGAGGTAACAGGAAGAGCCCCACTAAACTTCAGAGGCTTGATCACCAAGAACCTTCAAGTGGTCACCACGTCGATCCCATTTCCATTGGCGGCTACATCTCATTAACAGGTATAACAGCCACTATAATGGATTCCAATCTAGCGGACGCCCTTACATTACCATTCATAGATACAACAAAAGGTCTCCAATACCGCCTTTCAAACCCAGACGGGCAAACCTCCCTTCGCACGATAGATAGTTCCTTCATAACGGACCGGATTTTCCAAGTCGGGCTCAATAATCCCAATCCGACATCCGAGCAACTAAGCTTCGGACTACATTTAACAACCACCCAGCTAGAAAAGCCTCTACAGAAAACTTTCCCAGATGAAGAGGACTTAGACGAAGACGACGAGTCCCCGGATAGCTTTACCGTGGTAGTTGAGGATATCAACAAACCCCTATACGGCAATAACGGATCAGTAGATCCAACCACCATTAGTCACGATAATAAGGTTGTTGGCTTTATATCAGCCACATTCTCCTCTTGGAACTCTCGCTTGGTCATCAGTGACATCGAGATCGATCCATCGTACCGACGACAGGGAATAGCGCGGAATCTGATCCGATTCGCAGAAAGCCTCGGCTCTTCCAGATTCCCGGTCCGTCAAATGTGGTTGGAAGTTTCGAATGTTAACTACCCTGCTATTCGGAGTTACCTGAGGATGGGGTTCAAGGTGGCTGGGTTGGATGTCGCGTTGTACGTGGGTACCCCGGCGGAGGGGGAGTTTGCGATTTTTATGTGGAAGGAGATAGTTACAGGGCACTGAGCAGGTGTAAGGATGGTTATGGTTTATTCCGAGGGTCTAGAAGGTGTTGGCTCATATTACCAGGATAGCGAATTAGATCAAAACCCTTTGCGGCTCTGGCAATAGATGTAGGAGCCAGTGTCGGACTAGCCTTTGAACTTGCAAGACATTGTGAAGTCAACTGGTGCCAGTGAGTAATTTATACTGACACACAAAATCATCGAGCAGTATCATCTGTATCTGTCGATACACCAGTTTCATCATCTGAACATGGAATATAAGGGTCTAATCCTGAGACAATTCAATGAAAAACTATTAGATTCTAGCAGTGGCCAATCAGAGGAAGCATAGAACAGCTAGGCCCACTCCAGGTCTTGCGGCGGACTAAATTGTATTAATGGACAGAAAGACCATAACCTCAATCCAAATAAATGTTATAATGAACTCTCAGATTCACTATTCCGGTTCCGGATTATATATACACTGCTCTCGGATATACTAAGTTATACTCACTGCTAGTATTTTAAGCTGAGTATATCTACTTCCTATCATTTTATTTTATTCATAAGGAGTCTACTTTATCTTGGAGCCGGACTCGTCGGTAATATAAAAATAAATAAATTTCTGGATCGACTTTGATCGGGAACCCATATCAATTCCGGGAAAGAATCTCGTATAGCCGCACCCAGTACCCAGTAATGTTTTAGTCGAAATCATGAAAACTCTTTATAATTTTAAATCTTTACATTTCATATCTAATGTATAATTAATCTATATATAGAGCATTATCAGTAAAAACCTTGAATTCAGTATTACTCGTGCTATTAAAATGGAATGGAAATCTACTGTACATATCAGGCCGCAAACGGTCAGCGTGTTTGTTTGTTTGTAACGGATTTGGTGGAAATATTTGTATCATGTGTTTGACTGGTTTGCATTTCCATGGAAAATTCCAGCTCTCATGAATTCCATTGTCAGGACAATACACCGAATGCATACCGAGGTTCACCGAGGCCCACCTGGCGGCCTGAATGTTAGGGCGTACAAACAAATAGAATTAAGTAATTTTGTCTATCATCTATCTCTATGTCGTGCTTTTCCTAAAAAATCACTCCAACATGACGCATGCCAAAATAAAGATAAAAACAAAATGAAAAAATAACAAATAATGAAATAAAACGTACACATCGCTAAAAGACCTAGAAATACCTTTTATACCAAGCCAACCGCTCCTAGCCGTGGCAATTAATCAACATACTTGGGAAGGGTCTTCAGAATACCATCCTGAGCAATTTCTTCCATAGCCGTGGTGATCGTCTGAATGAACCTCTTGTCGCCGCGCAAGTCGTCACCGAACAGACTCTTGATGCTGAGCAGCTCGGCCGGGTTGGTGCCTCCCGCGCGAGCCTTAGCCTGGAGTTCCTCGCGCATGGGGTCGTCAACCACGAACGACTCGCCACTGTCGTCGACGCCGCTAACGTAACGGAACCAGGCGGCAGCGACGAAGCACAGGCGGCGGAACGGGCCAGTAACCCAGATTGCCTCGGCGATGGAGGGCATGATGAACTGGGGGATCTTGCCCGAAGCGTTGAGACAGATACGGGGCAGCTGGTCCATGATGGTCGGGTTGGAGAAGCGCTCCATGAGCGTGTTGCAGTACTCGTCGATGTTGACGCCCGGGATTTCGGGCAAGAGCGGCTTCACCTCGTCCTGCATCATCTGCCACACGAACTTGCTGAACACGGGGTTCTCCATGACCTCGTGGACGTACTTGAAACCCGCTAACTGGCCTGGGTAACCCAGGGCCGAGTGGCTGCCGTTAAGCAGACGGAGCTTGTGTTTCTCGAACTGCTCGACGGCGTGGACGTCCTTGACGACCTGGACGCCGACCTTCTCAAATGGTGGGCGGCCGTCGGAGAACTGGTCCTCGATCACCCATTGCATGAAGGGTTCTGTGACGACGGGCCATGAGTCCTCGATGCCGAAGTTCTCTGCGAGAACCGTTTTGTCGGCGGCGGAGGTCTGGGGTGTGATACGGTCGACCATGGCGTTGGGGAAGGCGCCTTGCTCGGCGATCCACTTGGCGATCTCGGGGTTGCGTAGACGCGCGAACGACTCGAGCATGTGGCGGGTGATGGAGCCGTTCTTCTGCATGTTGTCGCACGACATGACGGTGAAGGGCTTGAGGCCTTGCTGGTGGCGGCGTGCCAGGGCGGCGTAGAGGAAGCCGAAAGTGGTACGAGGGGCCTTCTCGTTGGCTGGGTCGAGGTCGAACTGGATGTCGGGGTGCTCGCTTTGCAGCTCGTGGGTGTTCTCGTTGTAGTAGTAGCCGCTCTCGGTGATGGTGAGCGACACAATGTGCGTATCAGGGTGGGCCATCTTGGCAATGACGGCCTCGCGATTATCGGGCGCAAAGAGATAGGAGTTGATGCTGCCAACCACGTGAGCAAAGCTGCCCTTGGCCGAACGCTCAATGACTGTGTAGAGGTGGTCCTGTGATCCCAGGGCGTCGCGCATGGCGGCGTCAAAGGGTTGCAAACCGACACCGCAGATCGCGTAGTCAGTAACACCATTCTTCTGCATCAACTGGTCGACATAGACAGCCAGGTGAGCTCTGTGGAAGCCGCCCACGCCGACGTGGACGATTCCCTCCTTGACGGCGCCACCGCGCTGGTAGGTTGGAATCTTGACCTGGGCCTCTCCTGCCGCCGAAATCTGGGACAGGTTTTTGTTATTGAGCTTGAGCGGAGGCATTGTGTTGTGATGAGAGGAACTGAATGAATGGCTAGGGCAAGTTGGGAAGAGGTGAAGGGTTTTTTTCAACAGGCTGAAGTGTCAGGGTCACCGCCAGTTTTGACCGCTGGTCACTGGACAAAGAGCAGGGAAGAGGATTACATCACGCAGTGGGGTTAACAAGGACTGTTATTAATATATTATTATCTGGGTCCTTGTGGGGGGTTGGTGGCAATGGGACCTTTTCCTTGACAGTGCCTTTCGCTTAATGTCCGCTTCCGGGCATCAGAAACCCAGATATCTTCCATACACATTAAGAAATTTACGCGGGGTGGGTAGGGCCTTGTTGCCTCAGGTGGCGAACCACAATTGGGCTTATGACTAATCCATGGTTCGAGTGACTCTGGAAAAAGCTTAATGTGCGTATCAAAACACAATATGGGGTCTCATCTACGGCTCACGGTGCCCCGATTCCCCATCACCAATCCGAAATTAGAAATAAAAACAAAATTCTACGCCTGAGAAATTCAGGGGTATATATTTCTCGAATAAAACAAATACCGTCGAAAAAGGTTGAGTTGTCCTCACCGCTGTTCGCCCGATTTCTGATCTATCTCGGCATTCCCAACAGCTGATCACCTGTTTAAAATGGGCAGAGTCTAGACTACTCTGTACCTGCCTTAGGCCTACCGACTCCGAGTTTTATTTTTTGTTATTGTTCATTTTCCTATTCCGGAGTTCTACCCGACTTCTACCCCCACGCCTGAGCTAGAAGCCGACAACTTCTTTCCCGCTTCTCCGCTGGATTCTCAATTTAAATGCGGGTTGAGGCTGGGGGGACCCTGGACAGTTCAGGAAGTCAGGCAGAAAACAAGAATGCGAGTACATAAAAAACCACAATGTATGATGTGTGGTTCAGATACTTTGATTCTTTTTGGTGTCCGAGATCGGTTCCTGTGTCACATTAACCATGCATAAGGTTTTTATGTAACTTAACTTTACATTAGTTATGAAGATTAGGGCCGCAAGGGCATGCATGATACACAATAATCTTAAAAAGTGTGAAAAAACAGGATCTGTCAAAAGTACCTCCCAATTTGCTAATCTAACTTCCCGTTCGGCCCGATTGACACAGAGGACCTAATATAGTAGGCGGTTTGACATTTACAACAGCAGTATTCTAGTCCCAACAGTTAACTCTATCTGCCCTGACTCTAAGTCTTGATCTTATAAGGATTACAATCACCCGTCCAGTGTCAGTTTCTTGCCACTTTGCCACCCACATTCCGGGACCCTTAGATGAAGATGCAGGTGCCTGAATATTCTATATTTAATTTATCAAAAAAGTATACTTTAATAGAGTGCCTAAATTATACCTACGGGAGACTAATTTAGAATTAACGATATATTTATCTTGGTCCCATACTTTTTTCAAGGATAATTGGGCTGGTAGTAAAATTTACATACGTGATAAAATTGACGAACATAGTAGTAAAGAAGATTATAAGGCGGTCTCTTCGAATATTCAAACAGTATAACTATCATTCGCTAATTCTTAGTAGGGAAGGTTTACGTTCTCTTAACACCAATTCGGAGGAACGCTAAATACTAGCCTACCACATCCTCTATCCTTTACTCTTCTTGTCCGTATAGCGACCTGCCTTCGGCTGTTGAATGTTGCAAGTTCAAGGCAAGGGCACGGGATGTTTTCAAATCTAAGCGATCTGAGGGCAACAAGTCCACCTACCATAGCAACATCGCAAGATAAGGCGAGTGTCCATTGCATGAGGGAAAAGAAACAAACAAGCCGAATACAGAACGATCTCCTTGTCAAACAGAGCAATACATAGATGGCTTGCTGCCGCATATGGTTGTGCTTTGCCTAGTCATGGCCATGATCTCTCATTTCCCTGGGCACGACTATTGTCCCAACCGTTATTCCTCAGATCACCGACGAGTTTAGCTCCAGTGCTGACGTTGGGTGGTATGGGGCTGCATTCATTTTCGTCAGTTCTGTAACTCAAGCACCATGGGGTTTTCAATGTCAAATGGACCTACCTCCGCAGCCTGCTCACATTCGGGCTAGGATCCCTGCTTTGTGCCCTCTCCCACAACTCCCTTACACTTATCTGGGCAGGGGCATTGCAGGATTCGGCGGATCAGGTATTGGATTGGGGATCTATACTATTATCGGGGTCTGCGTCCCACCAAGGAGACGTCCCAAGTTGATTGGTGTAGCGGGTTTGGCATTCTTACTCGCCAGCTTTGCCAGTCCCGTGATTGGTGGGGAGTTTAATAGTAACGTATCTTGGAGATGATGCTTCTGGATCAACATATTCATTGGGGAAGTTACATTTGCCGTCATCCTCTGATTTTTTCGGTCACCCTCTGTACTTGCGAACATGAAAACGTCGGGGAAAGAGATAATCTTCAAGCCTGACGTACTAGGCATCATTACATTACATTGACAGGTGCATTACTTTGTTTTCGTCTCGGTCTTGAATGGGGCGTCAGCAAGTCCTGGAATAACAAGGATGTCACTGGGTGTCTGGTTGGGTTTCCTGTTCTCATGGGGCTATTCATTGCGAATGAGTTCTTCTGGGATGGCCGGGCGATGATTCCCCATCGATTGCTTTTTTTGGAAAAAAAAAAAGGGGTAGCTCTTAGTTTCGTTTTTGTTTTCCTTGTGGTGGGCGCATTCTTCATGCTTCTGTTTTACATGCCCATCTACTTCCAGACAGTAAAGGGTAACTCAGATGAGAACTCGGGGATACGAACCCTGCCGTTGGTCATGTCAGCTGGCATTATGGCAGTAATTGGAGCCATAGGACTCGGATTACTGGCTACCCAACACCATTTCTGTTGGTTGGTGGAAGGATCATCAGTGTAGGAGTCGGGTTGCTATACACGCTGGATCTTCCAACGCAGCCGAGACTCCGGATTCCGTACCAGATTTTGGCTGAGTTCGAGACTGGGGCTTCTCTCCAGGTACCCATCATTATGAACCAAGCTAATGTAGACATATCAGACATTTCGACAATGACGTCCGCGGCCATATTTTTTATATGCCTAGGGGCCTCAATTTTTATGCAAGCAGGGCAGACCAGGTTTCTCGACAAAGTCAAGCGGGGCTTGGATATGATGTCTGTTGCCAACGTGAGCTCAAGCCAGTTACTCACAGGATGTCTTTTGACTAGCTAAGATATCGATTCAGGGTCATGTACAGGTTTTCGCACTGCTTACCTTGTGGGTTTGAAAGATGTATTTGTGCTGGTAGCAGTACTCTCGGGCCTGGCCACTTTCCTTGCACTCTTTGTGGGTCGATACAAGCTGTATACTGTACGACTGCGGCTGTAAATAGTCAAATCATTTTAATTATAGACTGGTCCATTCAAAATGTTGCTGGCTATAACAATGGGAACATGGTATCAAAAATTTACTCTTACTGTGTGTGCTCCAAGTGCCTCGTGGACTCACTGCCTTGGTAATTTATGGAACGCAGCCAGCGTGTGTTTAAAGTTATTCTCTGTTGGCAAATTTTCTCCAAAACCCAGGGGTGCAACGTAATATCTCGTATAAACTAGCCTTTAAGAAAATAATTTTTGAAAGTCAATTGAGTTCGTTCAATCATAGTTGAAATTGTAGTTTATTTTTACCGGTTCAATAATTATAGTATAATATAAAATAAATGAACTCTAAATACCATGTTACGTTAGTATTTATAAAGAAATGGGGCATTAGCTGAGTTGTCTGAATCATATACTAAAAAGGTTATTTTACACTAGCTATCGCAAATACAAGTACTGCTGTATACCTTAAAGATATATATCATACGATTCTTCGAGCTGCTTGACATCCTATTCGTACCAGGAAGTCTACAAGGCATAGTCCAAAAGTCCAGCCAATGACGACTGCAGGCATCAAGTTAAACCGCAGGTGTTGTCCATTGGACCTCTCCGGATTAAAGGATATCTTTTCTGTTGCTCTAGAACAAAATTGACAAAAGGCCTGCAGGGAGAGTATGAACAAATTCCCTTCTATAGACGGTTCTTATGTCGTACGTATCGAGGTGGATCAGGCAATTTCTTCGAATCTTCAAGAAAAGCCATGACCTCTCTATCACAGCGAACTCACGCCTTTCAACACCACAAGCATACATATAATGCCTTAGAAGCGTGAAAGAATGTACTGCAAGCTCACACCAATCGATCCTTCAAAGTTACTAAACAGAGCCATCCCTAGATCACAAGTCTCTTCCAGGAAAAGGAGTTTTGCACTTATAGCCTCGAAACTGCTAAATCTGTTGAGTTTCACTGTGATATTTGTAGACCACACGGGCTAGAGCATAATCACCAGATTTGTTAATAACAACGATCCGGCGTGTGTGGTAGCGATCCCCGCGGATCATCTCAAAACCCCATACCTGATATATCCGTTGTCAACAATGATTTTAAAGCTTTAAAATCTCTCTCTTAACTTACCTGCTCCATGGTCCATCCTCGTTCTTCACTGCGCGAGACGGTATGCAACCATCCTCCCCGAGTACTTCCTATATACTCTTGAGGTGTCTCCTCCACCACAAAGCCTTCCTCGCGCTCACCCTTGGAAGAAACTGCCCCTCTCAAAAATTCATACACCTTTCCATTTACGTCCGTTGTCTCCATGTCAAGCGCAGGTCGAACATGGCCATCCCGATCTTCTATTCCTCCAATAAGCCGACTACGAAGGCTACACGGCCCGAAAACATAATCATGGTGGACGTAAGGACTCCAGTCGAGTGTCCTCTTCTCAGTTGTACCGGTAAATCCCCCGGTTACCGTATGTACAACGTCAAGGTGTAATGCCAGCGGTGAGCCATCCGCTGCGGTGCTGGCGTATTCGGTGATTGTGGAGGTGATCCTGATGTGTCGAAACGCTCGGCGGATGGCCCAGTTTAGACATTGCTGTGAATCCTCTCATGTAAGCTCTCGTGCCACTCAGCTTTTGCACCATACGACAGTTGGTAAAGGGATAGTCATACAAGTTTCATCAAGGATTCGATGCCATTTGATAGAGCTTTTTCCTATAATGCTCGTCTATTCAGCCCAACACTATAAGGCTTTCACAGAAAAGCAACGAAGACGGACCATCACCCAAGTTCCTGTGAAGTTTAATATCGGAAGAGGTTTCAAGAAAGCCATGATCGATGGGTAAGGAGTCTATCGACACGAAGAGGCTTGATGCTGTGCTGGTATTCAACCAGAGATCAACTTGGATAAGCATACCATTATTGGTAAGCAGAATAAGTTGTAAGAGCCGACACTTGATAGAAATTATTCAACAAAAGGGGGCCTGCATGTCGATCTTCTGCAACCGCTATACTATATTTATCAATTTTCTGCAAGGGGTCACAAGGACACATACTGTCGGTGATAGAGAATCATCCGAGACACCAAATCATAATGCTACGGGACTCGAGTCTCGAAGCATTGAACTATTGCATACTCGCTGTGATGCGATATGTTCATTTCTGGATTCCGAGTGTTGCTGGTTCGTTAAAGGGACAACTCAACCTTAAGACATGTCATTCACCTTTCTTGGCAAAACTATGCGGGTATTCATAATTTTAGAACAGCACTAGCTCTTCATGTACTGCTCAATACTTCGGTCAGATAGCTCAATTTAAAGAAGTCAAACAGGCACCGACAATAATTGTGGCATGAAGAAAAGTGACTTCGCATAACGCGGTCGGCCCTTCTGGTAGAGAGAAAACATGTCCATCTTACTCAATGAGCAGCACTTTATAGTTTTTCTTTACGCCTGGCTCAGCGATGACTTAGATCGCTTTAACACTGTCAGATAATAGAGAAATATTGTTCCGTATCAAGAAAATGACAGAAATCTACAGACTAGTGTGGGGTCCAGTACAAACCCAACTTCTCGAATCAAATACCTCTAGATTTGGGAGAAGCAGCTTCTACCTGCGTGTTAACATCGCTACTTGTGGGTACTACTGCCAGTATAATTATCCGAGTGTGCTGTATGTAGGAATCCACCAGATTTTCGACTTGGTGCACGTCTTGAAGCAAAAGCAGGGTCATCTGCTTTCGCTCCATCCCTACGCATCCCCATTAGCTTTGTCGCTTGATCAATTATGTCTGGTAGCTCCCCGAAGTTGTTAGGACGACAATGATAAGCACTCAAGCAGGCTTTCTCCTCATCTCTAGATGGGTGAGGTGTTATGGAACTTCAAATGCATATGGGGTAGAGTATGGGTATAAATTCTTGATGTGGAATAATATTCTAGGCTCATTTTATCCGTTCATTTGCCTGCTAATGCTTGCAAGGAGCTACATGCATTGTTTTCGAGATCCCGGACGTTTTCACGGCGGGAGTCTCGGTATCGAAGGTGTGTCTCGATATCATTCTCCCTTATTAAGACTGCCAACACATTATTGTAGCTACACCAGAGTTGATAAAAAAAGCCAATATAAAAAAATCATGACAGAAAAGCCAGCATCTCGGTGGGAAAGGTGAACCTCGGGTGACCACAGCATACTTTCCCTAGAACTTCCTACAATAGCCTCGGGCGTTTTTGCAGGCCAGTGGCGGCGGCACCACTCCCCAAATTAGGGCTCGCCCATCGGACGAATGACACAGGCGGTACCGTCTGTCTGACACTCAACGAGGGCAATATCGTCTCCACAGCTCCCTTTTATACCCCCTACCTCCTCCCCTAATACTAAAATCCCTTACTTCTTCAGAGTGAGCACACCCGGCCTCCACGGCAGGGTATTATAGTTACCCCCGGCATTCGGGTTTCGTCCTTGGTAGAGGAATTGCAGGTTGCATGGATCGATGGTCATTGTTTGGTCAGGGTTGGTGCGAACCAAATCGCCGTGACTGATATCGTTGGTCCAGGTTGCACCACTGTTGGCTTTTCCAGCGAAGGGCTTGCTCTCGCTTGCTGCCTGCGGCGTCCACGATCCGCCGAGACTGCTGGCGGTAAATGAACGGAAATACCGCCCTTGTGTTCCAATTGCCTCGACGATCATCAGGTACTTGTTTTGGCCTTTGACAGTGTACACTTGGACTGCCTCGAAAAGGTTGTTCTGAGTGTCACTCAGGACCACCTCTGACGCTGTTCCGAAGTTTCCAGGGAAATTATTGATGGGCATGCTCGAACGATAGATCTTGCCATTGTCTCCTGCAAAGAAAAGGTACATATGAGTAGCGTCACCGATAAGGGTCTGATCAATGGCGCCAGTACTGGAGCCGGTTATTTTGCCAGAAAAGAGGGCTTTCTCAGATGACCATCCATTGGCATTGGTAGGGTCCCTTGATGTTCGGTACGTAAAGGTGCTCGAGCCCCATTGATATGCCAGGACCCAGATACTCTTTGGCTGGAAGTAGAGCAAAGTGGGCGCAACGGCTGTAAAGCCTATTGCGTTTTGACTTGCAGATGCCATGCCAGACCAATCTGAAAAGGTGCCGAAGTTCATCGCGCCGTAGTTCCCATTCTTGTCGGTGGTCGATGCATAGACGACGTGTTTGTTGTTGAAGACCACATTGGTGAAGTCCTTGACTGCCGTCCATCCGGACTTGGGATTCGCTAGAGCGCTAGTTGATGTCCAGCTATAAGTCGACGGAAGTGCGCAGTCGGCGACGACAGCTGGCGCTGATGCGAGCAAAAATATGCCGGATGACACCAGGCCAGCTTTAGACTTGAAGAACCTCATTGTCGTTAAGATTCTAATTAGTGATGGTTTGGATGATTGGAGACTTGAAGCAAAAAGCAGAACCACTTGGGCAGGAGCCGATCTTTTTTAAACAATCCAAGTACGGCTTATAGATTAAATTTTCAGACCCGAGAAAATGAATTGAACCTATCCCTTCTCTTCGCAAGTAAACTCCACAATGCTCTAGTTAGAAAGAAATAACGCATGATATGTTTCTTTGATTTGCTGCCCTCTCAGAGCGGTGTTCCGGGAGGGCAGGCAGGGTAACCCACATTAGCCAGAAACAACCGTCCGTCGGACTATTGCCTTTCTAGAAATAGGTACCGACATGAACCCCGCATCAATTTAACCATTCCAACCCTGTCTTCAGACTACAGTATCATCTTGTGGAATATGGCGTTGTGGGAACTGCCTCCAGAGATTGGGCAAATGCATCGAAGGAATTAGGAATCTAGACTTGGGTCTTGATGGTGACGCTAAACGGACTGATTTTGTTCTGATACATTATCAATACTAGGCTGTTTCACTGTATAACACACTAGTCTCGAGACACTTTCTGCTTGGTGGCTATTATCTCGGTACGGGTTGCGCCTTGCTGAAATGATTCAACTCGGATGTACCTCGGGGATTTGGTGGGGGAAGTAGAAAAATAGTTTGAGCATATTTGAAACCGAGGCAAACCCTCCTAAGCTAGATAATTTGGACGACCTTCAAGGTACAGGTGATCGCCGTCGTCTCCACATATCAGACCCTCTCTTCCTTTCCACTGACCACATTATTCTCCTCTTAAACGCAAGCTAAGATTAGTGGGGCCTTTCATCGTTACATGTTGGGGCTAGAACCTGCATAAGCCTACCTGAAAGGAGCTTGACGGTTTGATGGTATGCAGCCCAAACCCTGCTATACAAATATTTAGGCTAAAACAATAATCGATTATTATTTCCCCTGGGCTATTTACTAGAACCTTGGATAAATAGCAATATCCGTTCCTCATCGGCGAAAGAGGTGGATTAAACAATATCTATCCGTTTTCCTTCAGGGAAGGTACTACAAACCCTTGTTTAGGGCACCCACCTACTGAACGCGGACGCGAGCGGCAGAATCAGTGTCGTAATAATCAATGGACAAAGACAACTACTCAAGTATTTGAAGACTAAGGACGGTACTGAATACTCACCTTGTCCCACTAAGCACTGGTGTTGATATAGTAGGAACTATAGAAAGCCCGATATATATGTATCTCTATATACTAGAGTTTCTAGGTACTAGCGAATACCCGAAAGACTCTCTACGTGATATGGTATATAGATAGGTATATGGATTGGACTACGGTATATAGTAAATAGTGTATACCAAGGTATATAGAATGGTATAAGACCAATAGATATATGGGAATATTTCTTTATATAATTAGTTCAGTCCTTCGGAATTAATTGTAATTGTTACTCCCGAGATACCTCTAATACTAATAGTCTAGAATTAACTCATTTGTACTCTTTTAACTACTGAGTACATATACTTGATAGGCTTGGCCCTTTGAACTTGAGCTATTTACAGATTAGTTACTGTACTATCGTTCAGACCTCCGTGCATGGACAAATCGGCCCCGAATGGCCACCGGTGAGGAATATCGTATCACCCAATGGTTAGAAGGTCAATTGGGATCCTTGGTCCTTTCAGTATTCCGCTCTTCGACTTGCTTCCTGCACGGGTCCCAATAAGGAATCGTCCGAAGATTTTTCCAGCTCAAGCGGGATGTCGTTATTTAATATTAGCTAAAGCAATTATGCCCCTTTAAAATTAAAAATTGAGATGTTGATACAGAACAATATTGGCTCTGCCCTCTTTGTTCTACTGACAGTCACAATGTTTTTACATTTCTTGGATCTAGAATCCCGGATTCAAATTCAAGTTTCTAGTGTATAAAACAATGCCCATATATCTACAGACCGAAAGCACTCTCCAAAGCCTCACTAAAGCACAGTAAATCACAATCACAATCAGGATTTGCCTATAGTAGGCTACCATAATAACCTTCTCTATGTCTAACATACATAGCCAAGCCCTAACAACCGGCACCCCTATATCTCAGCTATGCACCAACAGCTTCTGCATGAGGATGAAATCCCGGTCATCATGTCATGCCATATCCATGTCCTGAGCAGATAGTTGTATCGTTACTCGGATTTCGGCTTCGTCTTCGGATATAATCCTCCAGTCTGCGGTCTTACATCGATCTCCGAATTTCTCTGCATTTTCCTGTCCATTAGGGCTTTCTGTCCTAGCATATCCCGGACTTGACCATGTTTGAGGTATAGATATGTCTTTGTATTGTATTGGTATCAGGGACATACTTCTATATATATTGGTATAATCTATAAGATAAGTAGTACAATAGAAAGTCATAATACGCTCATATTTTTGACTCGTGGTTACATCTCATATCTTCGTAGATATGTCAGAAAATCTTGGGAATGATACTTGAATGCCCTGGTAGCTTGCGAAGGTATCTCATGTTCTAGTATGATAGACTATAGCCGGTATAACACCAGAAATTACCAAAGGCCTAATAAAACATGTATGTGGGGACAATATAGAAGGAAGTCAGGACATGGATATGGCATGACACGATGACCGGTATTTCATCCTTATGCAGAAGCCGTTGGTGCATAGCCGAGATGTAGGGGTGCCGTTGTTAGGGCTCAGCTATGCACGTTAGACATAGAGGAGGTTATTATAGTAGCCTACTATAGGCAAATCCTGATTGTGGTTGTGATTTACTGTACTTTAGTGAGGCTTTGGAAAGTGCTTTCAGTTTGTAGATATATGGGCATTGTTTTACATACTAGAAACTTGAATTTGAATCCGGGATTCTAGATCCAAGAAATGTAACATGTGCCCAACTATCGTTAAAGAGAAGTGAAAATCAGCCGGTATCTCGGGCCTGTAAACCGTGTTCGAATCGTGCATCAACTGCAGATCCCGACAGATATCACTGATACTCGATATTTCCGCGAATTAGTTACAAAGGGAGACGATGACTCATCAGACACGGGAAACATGTCGATCATACTACCAATGTTGAGCGTTATTTACTCCTGTATGTGATACATCCGTGGGGGCTATAAAAACTTGCAAGGCCTCGGTGATGACACCAGCCTGCCTATTCTGTCTCTTTTAAACAGCGCTGTCCGCTGCTCCCAGGCCTTTATTATCCATCAGTCCCAACATTATTACTCAGATATCAAATTTACCCATTTTACCCACTCCTTATATTTTCATCATGAAGCTCTCTTTAGTACTTGCCACTCTTGTGGCTACAGCATATAGTCAAAAGCAGCTATGCTCACAATACGACAGTGTCTCGAGCCCCCCATACACAGTGAACAACAACCTCTGGGGAAAAGACCAGGGAACCGGCTCCCAGTGCGTCTACGTCGACAGCATCTCCAGCTCGGGTGCTGCGTGGCACACTACCTGGACCTGGAACGGCGGCGAGGGCAAGGTGAAAAGCTATTCCAACTCCGGAGTCAACCTGGAGAAGAAGCTCGTGAGAGATGTCCGCAGTATCCGCACCGACGTGAAATGGGAACAGGACAACACTAATGTCAACGCCGATGTCGCGTATGACCTGTTTACTGCTGCGGACAAGAACCATGCCACGTCAAGCGGCGATTACGAACTGATGATTTGGTACGTATCAACCGATCACCCCCGAAGTGATCTATTCTACCTTACCTGTGAAATAAGAAGAGTTCAATAGACTAACTCAACCGGAATTTGCCACTTTCAAGGCTCGCACGCTATGGTACTATCCAGCCCATCGGTTCTAAGATCGATACGGCCACAATCGAAGGCCATACTTGGGAATTGTGGTACGGCACTAGCATCCAGGCTGGCGCCGAGCAGAAGACGTACAGCTTCGTCTCGGCAACCCCGATAAACTCCTTCAGCGGAGACATTAAGCCGTTTTTCGACTACCTTACAGCTAAGCACAAGTTCCCTGCTTCTACCCAGTACTTAACCAGTAAGGACCCACAATTTTAACCCGCGTACAACCGAAGCCACTAATAAGGGCAATGTATAGATCTGCAGTTCGGAACTGAGCCGTTCACCGGTGGCCCGGCAACTTTCACTGTCTCCAAATGGACTGCCAGTCCCAACTAAGAATATGGAGACCTCTTGACCCCATTCCCTATGGGGCAGGAAGCCCGTGGTGCCGTGGGCATGATCAGCCTACTCCCACTGTCTACACAGCTCTTCGATTTGTTTCGAAACTTAGGGGCCTGTGGTTGATTTTCCCGTATGAGTTGGGCTCTAGCTCCAAGAACATACCCACTGTTGTTACATCTGTCAGGAGAAGGCTTAGATAGTTAGTAACCACGTCCATTCGTTTTATTTACTCTTGCTGTATTTAATTTGGCTAGCAATCCCTTGCCAAGCCGGTCACTGTCTTCACTTGGCGCTCGCCAATTGCTCTGGTCCGCTTCCCTGAGCAATTTTATTCGCGATCCCCTCTTGATATCCATACTGATTTACATGTATACCACATTCCGATGTGAGGCTGCGGGGGTCCCGCATGGAAGATCACGTGTAAGGCAAATTATTAAGGGGCATCTCAGCCTTGCTTGTATCTTAGCCTGGGGAGTTTAGTATGTCACTTCTATCACGTGTCTTGATCCTGTCAAGGTGAGGACTATTATTGCATAGAGGTTAGGCTTTCTATCAACGCGGAAACACTATTAGGCTGACGATCTGTACGAATCGATAAGAATCTAACATATTCAACAGTTTGGATGCTACTTCCTCTAGATTCAGACCTTACATCTTGGTATTCAAGCCGAATGGATGTAGGAGTGAAGATTGATGCATTATGCTAGAGGCTGGGCTACTTGGCGACTCAATTGCCAGAAGAAGGTCTAAGCGCGACCCTCTTAGTGCTAAGGCTAAATGACCAGTTCAATATGCTTTGTACATGTGTCTAGCCGGCTCGAGGCTTTAATATCCTTCGGATCGCGGTTATAAATTTCTTGGTCAGCACCAGAAGGGATGCTAGACTTTCTTAGCTTCAAGCGGGGGTTATTACAGGATGGGATAGACATTTGAGATATGCACTATGGGTTAGCTCTTACAATCGGTAGAAATGCCTCATCCAATAATAAAGCCGATACATACGACCACAGGGTGTGGAGAACAGGGCTTCCCGTCCGCTCAGCCGTACTTAAGCCACACGCCGGCCGGTTAGTAGTTGGGTGGGTGACCACCAGCGAATCCCGGCTGTTGTATGTTTTGAAAGTTTTTGATATATTTTTGCATAATACCACAGTCTTCAGTCAATATTCTTATATATTCTAATTAGACCTTGACAATATAATTGCAGCCCAGAGAGCCGCAGGTGGCAGGAGCAGAGAACTGGGTTTCCATTGAACGATCTACTACCATACACAGAGGTTGATCACTGGTTTCTGAAGCTATTGGGATGCGGTAAGGATTTTACCGCAGCGGGTAGCACATGATGGCACGTGCTACTACAATTCCGCCATTTAGTTTGCATAATTTGGTTGCGGGCCAACCCAACCATGGTTCACCCCTCCATACAAAAATATATATATCTTGCAACATGAACGGGATCATATTGATTTGAATATATCATATGCAAAATAAATGGTAAAATATCATAAAAATATGCAAAAAAATCAGAAAAATTGCCTAATATTTTGTATAACACTCTTTTGCCTCTAAAACTGCCCTAACACGGTCTTTTCTACTCTTTGTTAACGCACTTTGAATATCTTGACTGATTAATGTCCATGATTGCTCTAAAGCCTTCTATAAAACCTCCATCTTCTTATCATTCGATCCCTTGCAGTTTTCAATGTCCGGGTTCAAGTTGTAGACGCCTTCTTTAAGTGGAAACCACATGTATTCAATGGGATTCAGATCAGGCGAATATGGTGGCTATTCTATATAAGGAATTGCATTATCTTGTAACTAACTGGTAACCTTTTTGACTGAATAAATGGGAGCATTGTCGTGCATAAAAATAAGACCAGGTACCCAAATAGTAGGCAGTATTTCATCTAATAAGGCTATATAAGACTTTGCTGTATAGCCCTGCTTTTTGGCTTTAAAATCACGCTCCAAATATATAACTTATAAGATCACTGCGATTTTTGCCCCAAATAGCTGCCCAGACCATTACCCGAATAGCCTTACCCTTTTAATATGGCTGGATGTATTCTCTTTTCCACTTTTCTCTATGTAGATTAAGGCGAAACACATATTTATGGCACTGGCTGGATCCAAGTTCAACTGAGCACTTATCTAACCATATAATATTGTCCCAATCACTATCTGTATAATCCTTATATTTTAAAGCCCAATTATATTGTAGTCTTGCTACTTCCGGTGTTAATTTCGGGCGCTTTTGAACATGCCATTTGCTATATCCAGTCTCTTGAAATATATTATATAATGTGAAGCGACAAATTGCTAAATAAAGTGTATTTTGAATCTCTTGGTAGGTAATAAAGGGATTTTCTTTGATTATTTGAATCAGCAAGCGTTTATCTCTATCTGTATATTATTTTAGATGATCAGGATATGGTTGGGCTTCAAATCCTGTCTTAAAGATGCTCAGTTCAGTATAGTATAAATGGTTTGGAGGGGTCGATTCAAAAGCCTTGCAATTTCAGTGGGTTTTTTACCACCTTCATAAAGTCCCTGTATATAAGCTCGTTCGGTTGGATTTTGCTGTCGATTATGCTCAATATTAGCACTTAAAGGGCTCAAAGGGAATCTTCTAGGTGTCATGGTGGGTGTTTGAGAACATGAGGTTTTTTGACGCGTTGGTTGACGCGGCCGGATGCTTAGCTCGATTATTCAAACTTTTTACTAAGAACTATATATCAACCGCAGGCGCTATAAGATGCGCCTAAAAATTACTATTATCTTAGTCTTGCAGTTAAATTAGTAGAATTTTATAGAATACTAAGCAATAGTAAGAGAACTAGCTACTATATTATATTTATATTTATATAAGATTGTGGTTCCTAGTATGAGATAGGACCACCTTATATATATACCACCTAACAGGTTGACTACTTGAAAAGTAGTCAATTGCTGAGCTTTTAGCCTAGTGGTTAGGTGGCTGGCTAATGGAATCACAAGATAATAGCGGCCTAATCCAGAAAGCAGTCTTATATATTAGAATACTATGCAGTGCTAGCTCACGAGTCTATAGAGGTTATGATATTATATACTACTGGCTGGATATAAGCCACATACAGGCTCTAATTGTCAGGATGCTTAAAGAATCTTTTTTTCTAGCTGGGTGAGGAAGAGGGAAGTCCTATATATATCTTCGCATCCACAATTCAGGTACATACGACCACAGGGTGTGGAAAACAGGGCTTCCCGTCCGCTCAGCCGTACTTAAGCCACACGCCGGCTGGTTAGTAGTTGGGTGGGTGACCACCAGCGAATCCCAGCTGTTGTATGTTTTTGGTTTTGAAAGTTATGATATTATACTCTACTGGCTGGATATTAGCCATATACCGGCTCTAATTGTCGGGATGCTTAAAGAAGCTTTTTTCTAGCTGGGTGAGGAAGAGGGAAGTCCTATATATATCTTCTCATCCACGATCCAAGTACATACGACCACAGGGTGTGGAAAACAGGGCTTCCCGTCCGCTCAGCCGTACTTAAGCCACACGCCGGCCGGTTAGTAGTTGGGTGGGTGACCACCAGCGAATCCCGGCTGTTGTATGTTTTTGATATTTTTCAATATCAATTGAATATGCCTCTATTATGGTAATCGGTAAGCAACTTGCACATGTAAGTCAGTCATGCACCACTTGCGTTTTCAACGCGCCGTAATTTCTTAGGTGATCTAAATATTAGCCGTATTATTAGAACCACGCGACAAGTACAGCCGATTGTTAAAGGCGAGGCTCATGGCAAGCAAAATGGATGATAGATTTTACTATGGGAGAGTTACGTGCAGTTCAGAGGATTCTGGTGATTGTATGGGTAAACAGTTCAGTTTGATGCCTGAAATAAGCGCACCTGAAAGAGGTTCTTTAACGAAGATAGGATAACGTATGTCCTGAGCGAGCTGATCGCCCGGCCGAGCACCCGGCCGCCTTTTAAAAATGAAATTATTCCAAACAACATCAATTTACATTTCTATAAAAAATAAGTACTTCTCTCGATCCAGGCAGTTCATAATTTTACAGCCCTGAGTATTACAGCCAGAACACCTGGGAGGGGCACGCTTAGGAACAGATTCAGCGCCTAAGAGACTTTATCTGCCGGCATAGCCTTAATCTTCATATTTTCTTATTTCTATAAGAGCCCTGGTGTTACGCCCGGGGCTTCGTCCAAGAGCTCCGCAACCAGTTAGCTAACTTACGTAGCGAGGGTCGACCTAAGGGTCAGAATCTACTGAAACTTGATAACGAAGTGTAAAGGATCTGCATATATAGGGTAGAGCGCCTGCCAATATGGTGGGAATCACTAATACCAAGCAGTAGAATTAATACAAAACTAACCCTTGCAAGACCCCTCCAGAATATATTGGGGGTTCGGTACTTTATCATCCATGAATAGGAGGTACATCTCAGGAGTCATGATATTATAGCAAGGGTTCCGACTCAGTCGCTTATAGTGCCAGAATCACCAAGCTCCCGGGAATTATCCTTTACATATTCTTTCTCGGTAGCCATTCGGGGGCTGATTTGGCCATGAACATGGATCAGGATACATTGTACGATCATCAGGCCGAATCGCTATTCGATCTGTAACAAAAATAAAATAGTAAATAGAGATTTTCCACAATATTGTCTTTAAGTACTTAGTATAACCAATACAGAAGCGTTGCAAAAGATACTCTTGTAATTATCGAGTATATATGCTTAATAGATCTAACTCTTTAGACTTTAGCTATTTATAAATTAGTTATTACGCTGTTGTTCGGACCTTCTTAAGTTACCATCACGGCACTTCGTTATTGTATATCAGTAGGTTCTGATATCCAGGTTTGACATTCGCTACGCAAGACAGCTAACTGGTCGCAGAGCTCTTGGACGAAGCCCCAGGCGTAGTACGCAGCTAACTACGCTCTATCCAAATAGACTATATATAGTAAACAGCTTATTCAGGGTTAGTATAATTTTATACGGTAACCTGGATATATACTTCGTGGCTGTTATACAGCAGGTGCTCACCCTCGGAGGGAGAGCGTCTTTTAGCGGTCAGCACGCTTAGTATCTCTATTACCTGTAAGTCGGCGTACCAGGTACATCTCAAGAGAATTTAGAGATATAAGGGCCTTTCTACTCTAAGTACTAAATCCAAATATAACCAGCGCCCCAGATACCTACTTTTATTTCAGCTTATTTCTACTTTTCCACTAGAAGGGTAAAATCAAGAACCATCCAGCGCCGGGGTTCGGACAGTCCTATAATAATATACCAACAGCGGAGCCGACGGAAGATATGTTTGTTCCTGAAAGCTTTTGAATACTCACATGAGTGTGATACAGGTATCTCCCTGGCGACTCAATTGAGACGTAATGGCCAGATTCATTATTTTAATTCTCACAGCGGCTGGCTGAATGTCCTATTTCATCTGGAAATTCTCACCTTTCTCACAGTACAGTCGGATGCAAAACTAGTTTCACCACTAAACACACATCAATTGTTTCTGAACGCCATAGCCCATACACTATTTATAAATTGTAAAAAGGTTACAAACTTAAACGATCGCAAATAAAGCCAGGAAAGAGCCGACAGAACCGATACGTGCAGTGGTCGCCCATATTGAAGTAATATGGGGTCTGAAGTTATGAGCTGCCCCCAGGCGTCCCGATATTACTGTATGCCTACCATCAGAGTGTACACAGGCATATAATCTTTTCATGGTAACGCTTCAGTTTCTTAGGGTCTTTTGGGGATTTTCACAGCTAGATGAGTTTCGGGAACGGGAAATATTCACTGAGGTGCTCCATCGAGGTTGAGTAAAATCTTACTCGAGGGATCTTATTTAGGTCGGCTCAGTTGTATAGGTTATACCTGCGGATAGTTACTTGTACAGTGTATCACCCTAGTGAAATTATTATTGACTGATGTGGCTTGCTGACTATGAAGGCGTGTCTGCCCGTTTATGGACTACAGAATAATCCGCCTGCAACACCCATATTACCTATTCCTAGGACCATAGTGTTACATTAAACGCATGCAATTGAACCCCAACAATTTCCAGATTCAAGTGCTTGGGGAGTAACTCCGTAATCCATGTACCAATTGGGAGACCGTTTGACAGCAGCCTTCTATAAACCAGCACATAAGAATGTACAAGACAGGGCTCGACCCACTTCTGGGTTTCAATGATGCGCAAACAGAACGTGCAATTAAAATAGTGTGGACTGAAAATATTATTCCTCATCAGCATCGTGGATTGGCACGCTCGCAATTCAAAGCGCATTGGCATCATAACTACACAAGATAATAATAGAAAAAGCTCAAAGCCACGCCGCTTCCGGGTTCTGCCAGCCTCTCCGGACGTTCGGATAAGTATCGTGGGCCACCAAGTCATGTGCAGATCTGACCCAACTCGTACTACTTCCGGAGGTGACATGTCTTAGTTTTAAAGCTAATTAGTAAAAAAATTCAAGACTCCTACCTACGTCAAGAGTAGCCTATCATGGCGATCATGAAATATGGAGGAGAAGCATATGAGCGAGGTCTACTACTTCCAGGAACGGCTAGTTCTCGTCCTAGCATTCCTGTTCGCGGAAAGGGGTTCGTAGACACTACTCTCTGCAACTCCTCTGCAAACATCCATATACCCCTCAATCGTCTTACAATCAGGGAAATCAATTGGCTATGCCTACACATAGGCATCCTTCCCTAGAGCAACCGTAATAGGTAGGCCGACAAGTCCCTAATATGTTGCTGTCACACACCTGCCTAGCCTTGGATAAACACCTCATTTTCACTTTTCAACTGTTGTAACGGCATTACAATCACCCCCTTGCTACTATGGCCATCACATCTAGCTCTGAAATTACACCATCAATAAGACACAATATTCGCCCGCCACCTCGGTCGTTTCCGCTCGGAAAGGCTAACATTTATCAGCCCTCGGATGAACTCCATGTACGAAAATCGCTCCCTGCTAAGCAAACTGTCCAATAACATCGATCTAGGCTATTAGCACGTCCCTACCAACTTGGGACATGGTGTCTGCCATGGCCCGCAAAGAGGATTGGATAATGGAGACGGTCGAATGGGCCTATCCACGGTGAGGCAACCAGATCTATCTGGTGCTGGCGGACCAGGCAAGATTAGCTAACGGGAACGAAGATTCAATATAAACACCCAAGTCAAGAAGCTCTCGGATACTGTCTTACTCCGGCTCAAGGTCACCGATGAAATGACACGATGTATGGTATTTAGTTCTGCAAAGGCTGCTCGACAATGTGCTACCACCCTCAAGGCCGCCTCGATGCGGCACTCTGTTGTGGAGGTAGTTGAATTCGTCATGTCTCCTGCCTCCGATCTTGGAGATGGAACAGCGTATTGGGCTCAGTTCTCGGCGACTTTATTCCCGGATGAACTGTGGAGTGAGGCCATGGCCTTCTGGCGCGACACTGGTACCGGTATTTCCACACGACAGGCTCCTTTCTGTCTTGAGGAATTATGCTACCTGGAGTCCAAGTCCTCCAACCCAGCATACCAAACCTCATCTCCATGCAAAAGGGAGAACCAACCCAGCTCCCAACTCCACACATCAGTGCGCTCGACCCTAGCTAGCGAAACCGCAGTAAAATCCCATATTGCCCAGTTAGTTACCTCTGAGCAGCCAGGACAACCCCCCGTGCAGCCGGGAGATGTTTTCCTGTACCCAAATGGGACAAACGCTATATATTTATTATCGCAGATGTTGGCCTCTTCCAAGGCCGAGCCCACAGTTGTGGCATATGGGTATGGCTACCGAAAACGCCCCTTTTTAATTTAATGACATTGCCTCATACCCTGCCGTCTAGGTGGCTATATCCCGAGACTGTCAAGGCACTCCACCGATGCGCTTGGACAGAATACATCTCATATAAATACGGAACGGAGGAGGAGTTGGATCAACTGGAGAGCATGCTTGCATCGGGTCGACGGATTGATGCACTGTTTTGCGAGCTACCCAGCAACATTAAACTGTCGTCACCCAACATCTTCCGGATCCAGGCCCTTGCAGAACGCTATGGTTTTATCATAGTTTGCGACGACACAGTTGCCGGTTATGTGAATATCGATGTTCTTCCATACGTGGACGTTATAGTCTCAAGTCTGACAAAGTCTTTTAGCGGAGCCTCTAACGTCACTGGAGGAGGGTACGTTTTAAAGTATTCCTTGGGTTCTGTTGTATTGGACGGCGCTGACAATTCGTAGCCTTGTGGTCAATCCCGGTTCTCGTCATTTCAGTAGAATCCATGCCACCCTATGTGCGGAGTATGAGAGTACCTTCTTCCCGATGGATGTTGACGTACTCCGGAACAACAGCAAGGACCTGGTCAGGCGGATGAAGCGATGCAGCGACAGCGCACTTTCTCTGGTGGATCTATTCCAAAGCCATCCATCAATCGCTCAGGTCAACCATCCTTCCACATCATCAACGGGGTCTTTGTACAGGCGCCTGATGCGCGAAGGCGGTACTTACGGCAATGTCCTGAGTGTCGTCTTCCGGGAACCACGCAATGCAGAACATTTTTATAATACCCTGAATGTGTGCAAGGGCACAAGCTTTGGAGCAAATTTTACCTTGGCTCTTCCATATGTTCAATTGGCAAACTACCTGACCCGTGACAAGGTTGGAAAATACGGCGTGCCGCAGCATATTATTCGGCTGAGTGTCGGACTTGAGGACAAGGAACAGCTTCTCCAGGTCGTAGCAGCTGCCCTTGGAGAAGTCGAAAGACTTGAATCTTGAATATATTGCATGACGATCCTTAGTCCACTGGGCGAGCTCCTTGTATTTACAGATCAATGATCATCACTGAGAGTATGATGGTGAACCATACTCTACATTCTTTTTGTCTCTTGTTAACCGTGACTCCACAAAGCATGTCCAGATCGTACAATTCATATATATTTTATACTTTAAATCTCTCTCACAAACTGAAACCGGTGCACATTACTAAGTCTATCGAGACTGGCTTACTGGCCATATGGACCGTATTTGGTCCATTAGATTAGCCCTCTCTAAGATACTGTAGCTCTTCTGCTTGGCTGCTTCTATAATAGCCTCTTCGTCCATGGTCAATAATTTCCCACGGTCTACTACCAGCTGACCATCCACTACAACCACGCTCACATCACGTCCAGTCGCAGAATACACCACGTTACTGACTGGATTAATGCAAGGCTGTAGGTGCGGCTTCCGCATATCTAGAGCGACAAAATCTGCCCTTTTATTGACTTCCAGGCTTCCTATCTGGTCTGCAAGACCTAAGGCCCTTGCTCCATTGATTGTTCCCATCTCAAGGATAGTCTCTGCGCGAAAAAGACCCGGATTATGGGATACACTCCTCTGGACGATTGCGGCCAGCTTCAGCTCTTGCAACAAGTCGCAGGTATTCTGACAGGGGGCCCCATCTGCGCCGATACTGACATTCACACCGGCTGCTACTAGGTCTGGCACCCGTGCGATTCCTGACGCCAGTTTGGCATTCGAGGTCGGGCAATGCGCAATGTGAGCCCCCGAGGCGGCTAGCTTGGGGATGTCATTGATTTTGTCCAGATGGACCATGTGTGCCAGCACCGTCGATGGAGACAACAGCCCTACCGACTCGGCCCAGGAAACGGGCGTATGGCCAAGTGAGGCAAAGGAGTTGTATTGTAGTTGGGATTCTGCGCAGTGGATTGTAATTGGGATACCATGGGAATGAGCGACTGCTGTCATCTCTTTGAATCGATCATCGGAGGTACTGATGGTGAATGGCGGCTCCTGTTACAAACGTGCTGTTTCTGTGCAGATAGATTGCGCCACTTACAGTCCTGGGGTGAGAGCCCCGAACCAGATCCGAATCCGGTCATTTGCTGCGCCATTCCATCTCCTCCACGATTGCACTACGTTGGCTATGGAACGATCAGTAGCATTATTGGCCGGAGCAGGCAGGGGGGCCCTCCGGGCTAAACAGCCTCTGACACCGCTATCCTGGACCACCCGACAGAGCTGGTCAAAGTCATGATGTTCCAAGAACTGAATGTGGGAAAAGTCAGATGTAACTTCGAGGGGATACCTGGAACACACACACTTACCATGCTCTCTAGGAAACATGTCGTCCCGGACTTGAGCATCTCTGCCACACTCAATTGCACTGCCACCGAGGCCTCTTCAGCTGTCATGGTACACTGCAGGGGACGAACTACATCCTCTAGCCAAGACCCTAGTACCTGGTTGTCTGCTGTGCCCCGTAGTAGTGCCTGGATAGTATGCATATGTGTTGATATGAGCCCCGGGATGGCGACGTGCCCGCTAAGGTCGTACTCTCTTTCGTGGGGATATCTTCTCCGAAGTACACTTGTCGCGTCGAGGTCCGCAATGATGTTGTCCCGCACATAGATCGCACCGTCTTCAATGATGCGCCGCGCGGGGTCCACGGTGATAATGGTCGCGTGAGTGTAGAGCATGATTGGCCTGGAACTCCTGTCGCTTATTGAACAGCAGGGTAGCAGTTCGGTTATAGGATATCGCCCGTTATTGTAAATTAGCTAGAGAAAGGACCGAACCTTTGTTAATGAGGGCCTTAGATCTAAGTTATCCCTTGTCTTGTGCCATGGGATCCTTGCTGGTTACGGTCCAATTACATCGCGAGATGCAAGTAGGGCAGCAAGGGATGTATACTCCCTACATAAGATAGCGGTCACCCTACAGGATCTAAGCAATCCTGAGAAATTACCCAAATTTGACTGATGCATTAAGTTTATTATATATCTTTATTGCAAATGAGTGTATCTAGCCATTAGCATGGAAAAGAAAGACTGCCATTATCCATTGACAGGCATTTAGCACACCTATTGTGATCAACTTGCTAGCCATGGTAATTGAAGCATCCGAGCATCCCTGGACACGATGGGAGACCAGACTTAGGGCGGATAAACCTTGCTTACCTCCTTACTGGTGGATTTAACAAAGTACTCTTCCCTGGTGGACTTATTCATCTCGCCTCTTTCTTTTCTGTCTTTCTTTCTTTCCTTTTCTTGCCCCACCAATCCAGCCCATTGTTCAGTACAAGCCTGGAATTAGCCTAAGAGATACTTCTATCTTCCCTACAAGGCTTATAAGCAACTCCAATTGCAGTATGTAGATGAGGAGAAAAGACGCGTCACGTATATCTACATGGCAGCCATGATAACAAGATACAGATGATTTCGGCCGGGTAAGTGACAGCGCATTTACGTATGGTCGTGCTACCGGATCGAAACCTCTAACGTCGGTTCACTTCAGGGGTGTATATACTCTGTTTGGGAGTTGATTCAACCGCCAGTTATTTATACTGATAGTAGCCATGGAATAACTCGGTAGACAGACACCCGCAGCTCCGGACCAAGTCAGCCCTGCCAACAACACCTGGCTCTCAAAGCTAGTCAAGGAGGCAGTCCAGGACCCTCCCGATCTCCACCTGGTATTGCAGGAATTCCAGAATCTCATCGAAGCCAACCAACGAATCTATATGCTCTTCCAATCCCTGCTCCATCAAGCGCACAAAAGGACGCCCGGCTATGAAATCGAAGATTACCCGATTATGCTCCGCGTCCCAAACCATATCATTACGCATGTGCCTCCGTAGACCGAGGATCAAGCCGGAGCTCCAATTCTGGGCATTCTTCAATATGTCATTCCAACCGTGAGTGGCTATTCCGCTTTCATAGATCCTGAGGTGAAATAGATGATCAAAAGGGTTCTCGATACTTGAGATGAGTTTTTATCGTCCACGGAATCTATTGCGGTCCTTAGTACTCCTTCTACCGGTTGGTTCAGCTCCTCCGCGCTGGAAAAGTTAACTACTGCAGCCAATATCGCTGGCATAACTTACAGATTCAATGAAATATATGCCTGCCCACCCAATGCCCCATGCTAAGGCTTCCAGTCCTGGGGCGCATTCTTCACCGTGAATTCAGAAGTAATAGTCGACCAGTTGCTTCTCCTGATGATAGCAGCATTATTGCTAATGCATGTGAGTCTCGACCCTTTGCTGATGAGGAATGTAGCCCGCGACGCATTCTGTATTAAAGGAAAAACTTACTCCCTCTTCGATGTGCTGGAGAGCAAAGTTAGTGATCTGTTTGTTGGCGAAACTGTCTATCAGGGATGTTTAGACTCGCTTAGTTATTGCCTTTGGCATGCTCCTGTTTCTGGAAAGGTCTCCAGAATGCATACGCTGGACGGCACGTATTACTCAAGCCCATGCCCCATCAATATGAATCTACCCGACTGCAGTATGACTGTTCAGACTGGCTATCAATCCTATCTGGCTCCTATATCAACGCAGGCAGTAATAGTTATCGACGCAGACAACCCGGTAATTGGCCAGGTGTTCTTTGCCATGGGCATGGTGGAGGTACCTACACGTGAGATCTTAGTCAAGGAAGGAACATACGTGAGAAAAGGGGGCCAGCTTGGGAATGTTCCATCATGGGGGATCGCCGTATTGTCTGATCTTTAAAGAGGGAGTCGATCTTACCGGCTTTCCAGACATTGAGAGGAAAGAGAATGTACCGGTTCGGGGCAAAGTGGCGGTCGTGATGCGGGGCTCGCAGACTCCAAAGATATAATTAGTATAAAAAGCAGGATTTGGGCTTCAAGTTATAAGAAACCCTCTGCAATTTATATATAAAGCTGTTCTAGAACTTTTCTGCAAGGAAGCTTCGACTGCGACTTACTTCCAACCCGGTGTCGCGTTGAGGTTTCTTTTCCATACTACCTTATGCTGATTTCCTTTAACCTCATCGTAGCCTAGATGCAGGTTGAGACCCTCATTTCGTTACCCTGAATAATCTGCATACGGCCGTAGTGTCTTTGGTTGAGTGGAGCGGAGGATCTCTGCGATTTGAGAGTCTATGAGCTCCGGTGGGTTTTCTGCGCGGGAGTTGTAGGGTTTTTGGGAAATCATTAACATCGCAATCTATTAATTTACAACTAATAAAAAAGGAAGGCGATCAAGTACGTTCTTCGACCTTCCCACCTTGAGGGAATGACGTATAAGGCGATTGCGGCGCTCGGAGGGATACTCCGGGGGCCTTGAGGGTCCGAGATAAGAGGAGGTATATGTCTAGTGAGAGGGTATTATTATTATTATTATTATTAATCAAGGTTAACGTCCATGTAGAGCTGTTCTATCGTTTGTATATTCATTCTGGCCCTTTTCCTCGCCCAAGCCACCTATCTGCACCAGCTCCTTTGGGCTATACTTGCCTTGTAGAGTATTGTTCCTGGACTTCCAACAGGTCGAAGGTGACGGTTTGGCTTGTTCTACCTCTTGTCTGTGGGAACATGCAAATAGGCAAGTAAACCCGGCTTGCTTAAAAGGCTTCGGTTCTTCAGCCTCGAGAACTTACTCAAGTTACCTAGGGCCTGTAGGATGTATTGCCTGTCGAAGACTCCGTCCTCGAACGTAAACAGTGGCATTTCTTTTTTTTTTTTTTTTTTTTTTTTTTTTTTTTTAAAGAAATAGCTACTTTGTGTGGTGATCTCTTTACCCTAACCATTCCACTTTCTCTTGTCAACGGCCGCGGGCCCAGCGTCAACTATTACTTTATGACCAAACCTCTTCCTATACCCTTTCAGGATCAGATTTTCTGGGATATAGATTCCTTGGGGTTACAAAGCTCTTTGTCCGTTAACCAGATCGCTCGATTTAAAGGATCTGAGAAACGAGGTTATGGAGTGCGCTGTAACGACGCTTCCAGCGGTAGAAGGTGCCTTAGCTTCTTTCGACAGAAGAAGTCTCAGGCGAACCCTACAAGACGGACGAATAATTGCTCTTAATGTATCGCTCTTTACTTTGCTGCTTGGAACTGATACTCTTTATGCAGGAATCAATCGAATTCTTGAATGCCCCAGCTGCTAGTCGAGAACTGTGATCGAACAGAGAGGCTCCTATCATTACTTATAATAGAAAGGTAGAGGTATGGCCTCACTAACTGCCTCCTGAGTACCAGTTTCAGCTTATAAAGCCCGGTCAGCCTTTTGTTCGACAGAGAGTTAGCTTCGCTTTCCGTTACTATAACTACAAAATTCTTTTGCTTCAGTCCTATCTTTGCCAACTCAGGAGCAGCATAGGAGCATCACCAGACGAGGGTTCCAGGATTTCTAGGAAACTATAACCGTGCTCTTCTTGCAGAACTGTTCCACTTCCAGGGGTAGCGGTGGGCCCAGATTTATCGGGATAATATCGCTGTGATCTCCAATATCGACTCTAGATTCGCGTATTCAACCTAGAAATATACAATTAAAAACTTTAAGAAACTCCGGATTAATCATGGCCCAGCGTTTCATTCAACCCACCAGAATCTCCACTCCTTTTTAGTTTCAGTGTCGGATGCCGTACAAAAAACTTAGACACTTTGCCATTTACCTTATAGTAGAGGCATTCATTGGTTTTCCTGTATGAACTTGATTCGACAATGGCATCTGCCCTTGCAAAAGAACAAGAAAAAAGACCCTCGCCTTTGACAATCTGCTGTACTTAACGCGTGGTTTCAATAATACGGCTAATAATTAAATCACCTAAGAAGATTACGGCGCGTTGAAAACGCAAGTGGTGCATGACTGACATGTGCAACTCGCTTACCGATTACCATAATAGATACTTACATGGGCATATTCAATTGATATTGAAAAATATCAAAAAACATACAACAGCCGGGATTCGCTGGTGGTCACCCACCCAACTACTAACCGGCCGGCGTGTGGCTTAAGTACGGCTGAGCGGACGGGAAGCCCTGTTTTCCACACCCTGTGGTCGTATGTGTCTGAATTGTGGATGAGAAGATATATATAAGACTTCTCTCTTCCTCACCCAGCTAGAAAAAAAGCTTCTTTAAGTATCCTGATAATTAGAGCCTGTATGTAGCTTATATCCAGCCAGTAGTATATAATATCATAATCTCTATAAACTCATGAGCTAGCACTGTATAGTATTCTAATATATAAGACTGCTTTCTGGATTAGGCCGCTATTATCTTATATAAATATAAATATAATATAGTAGCTAGTTCTCTTACTCATGCTTAGTATTCTATAAAATTCTATCAATTTAGTTGCAAGACTAATTTAAATAAGATAATAGTGATATTGTCAAGGTCTAATTAGAATATATAAGAATATTGACTGAAGACTGTGGTACTATGCAAAAATATATCGAAACTTTCAAAACATAAAAAGAAACATACAACAGCATTAGTACAGCCGTGCTCACCCAGGCCTTTTCGTGGGCGTGCCGCTGCTTTACGCTGGCTCTTCAGGACCTCCTTCAGTGACATGAATAATCTTTACCAGAAGGGTAAGAACGCACATTTGTTATACACTTATTTGAGACAGGTTTTATATTTAGTAATATCTAGCTGCCAGTTTCTCACTTTATCTCTATCTTATTATATTTGATCCTTAGGCGGAAACTCAACATCTC